TTAGTAGTTCAGGAATAATCTCAAATAGAAAAAGTTTTGGATATATTACTGTTAATTAAGGAATTTCTTGAGGAGACTTATCAATTGCTATATATAAAAGACTGGTTTGAGAAAGATAAGGGATACGAGTCTATTACCAACAAAGACAAATTAAATATTAAAATAATATTTATATTGGATATGAATCATTATTGAACAAGAACTTGTAATGGAGGTTTTTGTATACAAGCTTAGATGATAGGCAATCTCCTGAATATATATGTAGTTCTAATAGAAAAAATGGCTGGTCAATGTAGATAACGAATCAATCCAAAATATGATTATCTATTATTATTTTTAGTATTAATACTAGAAGTGCAGTTACTTTTATTAAGCCCGAATATGGAGGATATTTGTTGGCTATAGGCCTCGAGTTTTGTTTCTTTCTGTTAATAGGATAATGTTTGTGTAATGAGGGTTACTTAGGACGAACTTGATTAGGCAGTAGAATGTCGGACTATAAATAATAGGGAATCTCTCAATATAACTACTTTACTATAAATAGTTTATTTCAACGAAGAAGAATACAGGGATATCCTACTCGATAAAGAGAATCTGGCTAAAAACCCTATTTTAATTATTATTATATTTATATGATTTTGTTTATAATTATTATAAGCCGGCTTACTTACACAAAATCTTGGAGGCAGATGTCTTTAAGTTTCTAATTGGAAAATCTGAACTCAATAATACGGAAATTCAACAAAAGCTTTCTTTCTGGTTGTAAGATAAGTTACCCGCATTCCTTTTGCGTTATGCGGATACTCTTCTATCACATCGAGCATAGAATCATAAGATTGAACTAATATCTGAAAAGGAGTCACTATATTTTAAGAACCACTTATTATCATTATTGGAGCTCAAAATTATATATAAGTAGATTAACGATAATCTTAGTAAAGACTTTATTTGGAAATCAAGATCATATAGTGCTATACCCTTACTTTTAGCTGCTAAGCTAGGTGGCAGTGTATATATATATCAAGATTATTGAGAATTAAATAATGTTACAATAAAGAATCATTATCTATTCTTTATTATTTACAAAACTCTGGATGCTTTTTGTAATGTTATAGTATATACAAAACTAAATATTATTATTATTTTCAATAAACTCTATATTGTAGAAGGTAATGAATGGAAGATAGCTTTTATTATTCATTTTAGTTTTTTCGAATCACTTGTTATGCCCTTCGATCTTTACAATACATCAGTATCCTTTCAATATTATATCAACCATACTCTATTTAACGAACTGAACAAATATTGTACAGCGTATCTGAATAATGTTCTTATATATTCGGTGGATAAATTAGAGTACAGAGAGCATGTTCAAACAATAGTATAAAAGTTGACAGATGTTGAACTACAGATTGATATAAACAAGTGTGAATTCGAGATTATTTCTATTTGTTATTTGGGATTGATAATTATAATAAACGGTATATAAATGAACCCTGAAAAGGTTATTACAATTATATTCTGGGAATAGTTACTTTCAGTAAAAGATCTATAATGTTTTTTGGAGTTTGTTAATTTCTATTGATAATTTATAAAGGACTTTTCAAAGATATACTGGTCTTTTAATGATTTATTATGCAAAGATATTGGCTGGATGTGGGATGTGTTATATAGAGATACTTTTGTTATACTTAAGGATATATTTATAATAATGCTGGTTCTTATATATTTTGATTACAATAAGTAAATGGTTTTGAAAACGGATATTTCAGATTAGGTATCAGGAGGGGTACTTTCTCAATATGATTTCGATGGCCTTTTATGGTTAGTAGCTTATTTCTCGATAAAACACTTTGTAGCAGAATGCAATTATGAGATTTATAATAAGGAGCTTCTTGTAATTATCAAGTCTATGGAGGAGTGGCAATTAGAGCTTCAAGGTTCGCAATAGGAATTTGAGATTCTTATTAATCACAAAAATCTAGAGTACTTTATTATAATGAAGGCTTTAAATCAACGACAAGTCCGCTGATCTGAATTCCTCTCTTATTATAACTTTTGTATAGTCTATTAATCGGGGTCTAAAGTTATTTAATTAGATACTTTAAGCCAAAAGAAAGAGAATAAACCAAATTTTGTAATTAGAAACAATAATATTTGAAGAATAAAAAGTGTATAGTTTTATTAATAAACAAATTCGATATTGACCTTTATAATAAACTAAAAGCTAATATTTATTTAGTACCAATAGATTTTGTAATACTTATAGAAAATAAACCAATCAATAAACTAATTGATAATGCCTATAGAAGATCAAATATGGCTCATCAACTTATTACAGTAATCGAGAATCAATATATATGTAAATAACCAATAGAATTCAGGAAAACACTTCGAGTTGCTATGCAAGATTGTTATATAATAAATAATAGGATATATTATCAAAAGAGATTATGGATTCCATTAAATAATGAATTGAAAGTACAAATCATCTATAGGATGTACTTATCTGGTTCAACTGGGCATCTAGATCAAACTAAAATAATCAATCTCGTTTCTTGTATCTATTAATAACCACAAATGTATTAGGAGATTGCTTTATATGTATAAGCATATAAACTCTATATATATACAAAGTCATCAAAGTCGGTTTCATTCGGATTCCTATGTTTATTATTAGTTCCCTTTTGAGCCTGATCTGATATATCAATAGATTATATTACATTGCTTTTAGATTATGCTTATTATAATTTCATATACAAGTATATTCTAATTGTTATTTATTAACTAACTAAAATGAGATACTTTATAGAGGTTAGAACACTTACAATAGAAGAGTTTGTTGATATCTTTATCAGCTGTATTTATACTTTATATAATCTATTAGATAATATTATCTCCAATTATGGTATATAGTTTGTATCCGGTTTCTAATCTCAATTAACTAAATGATTAGCTATAACCCTTCAGCACTTTTTAATATTCCATTTGCAAACAGAACAAATAAATTCTGTTCTCAAGCAATATTTACAAGCTTTTATGAATTTTCATTAAGATGATTAAATATAGTAATTACCTTTTACTGAATTCACATTGAATAATATAACTTTGGAGACTATCGGCTACTCGTTATTCTTTATTAATTATGGGTTTAATTTATATATTGGTGTAAAGCCTAGTAAACCTTGCCCGCCGGATATAACTATAGTATAAAAACAAAATTCTTTAAGAATAATAAGATGGCAAATAGAATAAAAAGAATTTTATCATAACTATAAGTTTTTATTAGGCAAACAGTTACAATATATAAAGAAAACGCAAACTGGCATTGTATTAATTCATCACACTATTATATAGATCAAATTCAGCTCTGCCTCAACAACAACCCGGATCAGACGTTCCCTTCTGGAAACAGAAGCGGATCGCACCCGCAGAGGAGCGAATAGCCCCTGGCATTGAAGTTAAATTGCTAAATTCGGTCGCGACGATCACGCCGCTCAAATAGTTCCTTATCTTAGCACGTCTAAATACCCTTAGGGAGGTCCAAAACAGACGTTAATTAATATAATAAATAAATAAATAAATTATATAGATCAAAAGGTATTTATAAATATTAAGAATATAAAAACCTCTCAAAAGGCAAAGAAATTGGAGTAATCGGTGAATAAAGTTATATAAGATTATAAAAGTTTATCCTCGTTTCTGTCTTATTCAATTATCAGATAATATTCGGATATTTCCTGTTTTTCATTATTTGTTATTTATTTCTGTAATTAACAGAATATATTTTCCAATACAAACTATAATTAACAAATTAGAGTTAATTATTATTAGAAATAAGATTCTTGAAAAGGAGGATAATAAGAGTGAGTTAATATAGAAATGAATCTTTGAAGAAATTATAGATAATTATAATAAAGATAATTATTATTATCTAATCAAATAAAAACATTATACTTCTATTTGGCAATTAGTAGTAAACTTGAAAGGAAACGAAAAACTATTGGTAGAGTATTATCACATATATTTCGAAAAGCTTGGTCTATCAGATAGATATTGGATAACCCTAAAGTTAAAGCAATCCTATTATTGACACTAGAACGTTCAGAGAAGATATAGAGAGTTTGAAAATCAACTCGCAAAAGAAAAGCTAGATTAATATAAGCATCTGAACTATTAATTCAATAAATTCGATTGTTCATTTGATTTATACATAATAGTAAGCTGTATAATAGTTTTAGTTTACTTAGGATAAGTAAATCTTTGAGGGGGGTATTATTATGGGTTCAATATGTAATTATATGAATGCCTTAGATATTCGTTCTCTATATAGTCGGCGCCTCTCTGTTTCCTTCTTTACTTCTTGTAGAATATCATATATCTTACCTAGTACCTATCTCTTGCGCCGTGATAATACGGGTAAAGACTTATATTGTACCATAAGGGTTAGAAGAGCTATGGAAGGGTAAGGCCCTACTTATAGGAAGTAGGGCACGCTAATGGTCTATGCCTGAGGCACGAAGGCAACGTAGTTGGCGCCGTGACAACCTTAAAACTATCAAATAGTTCCTAATAATTCCTAATAATTTATTTGATAAATATTTTAAAATAGCAAATACTTTCAAGATTAAAATACAATTCTTATATATTAACTATAAAATAGCTTTTGAAGCTTTATAAACAAATCTTCATTATTATTCACCCCTATCATTTTTCAATATTATTCAAATATATTTCAACATTATTCAAATATATTTCAATATCACTCAAATATATTTCAACTACCAAAACATTACTCAAATATATTAGCCTGAGTACCCTTGCCATTTTAACATTATTACAAATTTCATAAAATAAATCGAAAATCGATCCGAACGCACCCTTAGTATCCCGTGAATCCGTGCACCCACTGGTGCACCAATAATACCAATACCACCAATAACACCAGTCATAAAATTCGTCATATTCTCATGCAAAATTCCATTCGTTGTCGATCCTTGTCATATCTTGCATATTTCCGTAAATCTCCCGTGATATATTCTGTCTCGTTGAGATTCAACCGGGTCTGAATGAGGATTTGGAACTGCCAACGTTTGTTGAGCTGGCTCTGCTGAGGTGATGACATTGGTATCCAAGTTTGGATTGAACCAGTTAGACTGAGTCTGATGCGGCCAATTGTTCATTGTATTCATATCGAGAGATTCGGTGTTCAACAATGTCCAATCATGTTGGGCCTTCGGCGAACATGCAGAAGTCGATGTTGGGCTTGGAGTTGGATAATGAGAAAACCTATCGGTCCTTTCGGTCCAGATTTCGTCAACATTCTCAAAAGTTTGTTGAATAGGAGGAATCTGAAGGTTCAAGATTTCCTCTACCCTTGAAGGCATGAGGCCGTCTTTTTCCAACATCGAAGATGGAATTCGTACAGAACATTTTTGCTATAACACCGATTAGAAACTTCACTTACAAAATATTGCCACCATATACACATACCTCTGAATATACAGTAGATCCTTGGCTAACTCCCAACTCCTCTGCCGCATACTTCATCCTTCCTAGGACCCATATTCTTTGCGATTTGCTAACAAAATCTGAAGTAGCGACGGAAAACAAAGGCCACAATATAAAAAGTCCAGATAGGCCTTTCGCATGGGCATCTCTTTCATCTCCGCACGCGAAGCTGTGCTCAGAAGGGATTTTGATATCCATAGCTGTTGGTATTTCCCCGAGACAATTAGGGACGCTGGCAATAACGTCCCGAATCATTTCTTTTCCGGCTATCATAGCTTTCTCATACTCCACAGTAGTTCGGTAATCTTGTGGTGAGCATAGCCAGGCAGCACATCGGACGATAGTACTATTATTGAGTAATCGCGATCCTCTGGAGAGATTCCAAATATGAGCTACCCAAACTTCGTGATACTTGTCGATCTTACCAGGAAAATATTTAGATTCGGCATATTTCTCTTCCGGTATAGCGTCGATCCATCCTATGGGCTTATAATTGCATTGAGCTGGCATTGATTCCGCCCATTCCGAGTAGCTTTGTTCTATGGCTTCAGCTTTTCGCATCAAATTCAGGACATTTTCGAAGTCTTGGGGAGTTCGTTTCGCGCTGGCCATAAGTTTGTCACATTCAACACGCGCTTCCGCAACTTTCCATTGAAGACGATTACACATTGTCGGGCCGCCCCTGGATTTGTCCCTTCTCTTAGTAAGGACTTCATTCCATTCCGCTGGGATATCGAGCATCTTTCCGTTGAGGAGACAACTTAGGTTCTGTTCTCGTAGATTAACCGACTGATCTAACCAATGACACAAACGATTTTAGACGTACCAAGTGTACTTTCACGGTCCATATCAATTCCAAAGTTAAAGGAGTCATCGGACCTTCTACATCGCGCATCTTCAAAAGGGCTGTTGCACCAGTCACATGGGAATTCCAAGTGTTCCAGCCTTCCTTCTCTTTTACGAGACTATATGCCATGGTCTACTCACAGTTAGTAACGGCATCTTCAAAGAACTATGGAGAATGTAGACCTCAAATAACGCAAGTAACATAACCGCTGCAAGTGTTGTATCTTGAGTGGCTTGTTTAGGATCGCCTATGGCGTTAGTGACGTGACGTAATGCCTTCAAGTAGGCCTGCTCGGCTTTTGGCTTCAGCATCCTAGCATTTGGTTGATTCCCGAAGGTAGCCAGCGCCACTGCGGATAGTGAGTCTGATAAGACAAGCCGAGGGTTGAAGCTTCATCAATGGAAGTAAAAGCCGAGGAAGCCACATCTCACTGCTCCATGAGGGATCAAAACATAATTTGAAAGAAAGAAACAAATTGCACGTTCTTCCAATGCCGCTGTCAAAGGCGGACATGCTAATTGTGTTCCATTCTGTATTGCTTCTATCAATCTCTGGACGTCTGGATAAGAGTTTTGCCTTGGTCTCCATCGTGTATAAGGTATTACATTAGATTCAGATTTACTCCGATTATGAGGGCGAGCCATTTGAATTGTAGCAAGGGCTGCTGTGGTTGCGATTGCATGAGACGTTTTGCGCTGTGCCGAACTCGATCCATTACGATGCATAACGTCAAAGATTGGTCGATATCCAGGACAATCGCGCTTCAACCTTTGGCAGTTACCACAGCCTGGCTTTTTCTCATCACACTGATTTGTGTTAGTACCATTCGTATGCTGCATTGAGGGTGACATCTGACCTTGACTCGCCGAGATCTGCAGAGATAACATCCTCTGGATGGCTTTCCAGTGTTAACCATCTTGTCAATCCAATATATTATGAACTTTAAGTTTGAATCTGCTTTTTGTGCCGAATCTAAAGTCAGGTTCGCTTGACGAAATAATTGTTTCCTTGAGAAAGACAGAGGCCTCCCAACAACTTATGGATGGCAGAAACTACGCAGGAGCAATGCCAATTCATCTTGTTTCTCCGTGCGAAATATCAATCCGTGCTAGGTTTCAACCCCGATAGAACAGTTGGTTTCGGATATCACAGCTGCTAGAGTATTCGGAGTTGATCAAAGACATCCTAAGATTGGCTCATTGGCCAGATGAAGTTTCTAGACGTCTCATCAGTCTTCCTCTGCGCCTCGAGACCCTAGTTCCCAATTGTTCACTACTAGCATATCACATGTATTTCCACCGTTGCAAGGATACATACTAGTGCTGATCCTCTAACACAGGACTATCCGAACTGCCGGAAAGTATGCGTCAGTACGGAAACTAAACATTAACGTGATCCGGTAAACTCAATCCAAATCGAGACAAGACAGACGGTTTAATCAATAATGACACTTTCTATCTGACAGAATACCTGATCTGAAACCCGTTGCCCCCAAGCGCTGTCAGAGATTCGAAAGTTTAACCAACTACAGCGTGGTAACATCCGAGCGTTCTCAAATCGAAGATTTTCCCTATCTGCTGTGCAGAACTTCTGCGCGATTTAAGGTTTCATTCTAAGTTTGTTTGTTCCCTCTGAACAGCGATGCCATAGCTTCTTTCTTTAAGGAACGATGCTTTACTATAGTCTTTACCAGATATGTGGATGGTCCTAATTTGTTCTTGATTCGGACTTTGAACGCTTGGACATTATTCTTTCATGAAGATGGAGTTAGGTCTAAGTTTACTACTGGGGATGGAGGTCCACATTTGTTCGGAATACGGAATCTGATAGATTCTGCGCAAATGATTGCCACGCGCTTGAAGACTTGGAGGGGATGTGATACGGTCCAGGCTTTGGCACTTGCGTGTTATTGCATATCACACGTCATATGTATAAGTCTAGATGTTTTAGCTGGGAAGAGTAGGTACTCCTCAAACAACGAGAGCGCTCTTGTATGGGGTTGTATCTATCAGGACCCTGGAGAAAGCTTCGTGGTATTGAATCATGACTGACACGTGCCGCTACTATATAGTCTGGAGTAAGTAAGTGGCATCGGGATGTGACAGGCCAATCTAGTTTGAAGGGCGTGAATGAAAGAGTGGCTGTGTCTAGACTACTAGGAGTCCCCCCGCGGGATGTCTATCGCCCGAAGAGGGGAACGTGAAAAGAAACTTTAGAGGGAACGGGGAAGAGGGGCAAAATGGAATCGGAATAGCTATCAGGTAATATTGGTGCTCTTGAGGTGCATACTAGCATCGTATCATAGGAATGCATCTATCCAAAATGTGAGATAGATTATTACGTAAATAGGAAATGTAAAACAGATAGGTATTTTCGAAGGAAGTCTTAATATCTAATAGTAGCTACCTAGATATCTATTCGATGATCTACTCGTGAGTATACGTCAAAAGTAAGACGTGAAATATTAGTGAAACCCCCGGGGCCTCTCGGAGTATAAAGCTTGCACGTAAGTTATCCAACGGGAGTAGTTTCAGGTGCACAAGAAAGAAAGAGCAGAACCCTGGTGAGGTCAGATGATTACTAATCAACATCCGCGCACCTGGTGCACGGACTCTAAAAAGTCTAGATGCTCTGCTCTTGTGTCGTGAAGTTGTTTTCCGATAAGATGGTTACCGACTTGTGAATGTAAACAAATAGTCTGTGAAGCAAAATTGAGGCAACGACAATTTGATTCCACACTATACAGCGTAATTGATTACCAAGTACATTTATACTTAAATTTCCAAGTCAACGAGAACGGATTCCTGGATTCGCCTTTTCGGTGACTCGAGTTGAGATAGTCCAGATTTGTGAACGCGGAGAATTGATTGCGCAGCGCCATTTTTCTTGCTTTCATCTTTCATCCTTTCGTCGTCGCGACAATCTCTGCTGATAGCAGAGGGGAAAGCGCAGTTGTATAGGGAAGAAAAGAAGGAAAGGGAAGAAAAAAGAGATAGAAAACAAATATGGCAGAACAACAACGGAAAAAATCGAACTCCAATCGCCAGATGATTTAAAATATCTAGTCGCGAATGTGAAGAGGGCGGCGCGGGAAATGATTGATCGTGATCTACCGCCGATAGAGGGGGAGGATGCGATGAGGAGGTTGGTGGAGGAGATCGTGGGGAGAGGTTTGTGATATTTCTTTTTTCTTGGATGCTGTGGATGTTCGGGCTTCGCACGGGAGGAAATATTGGAGAGAACGGGAAACGAAAAGGGGATGCTGAGATTAGGGAATGGAAGAATACTGACTAGCGTAATAGTACATACACAAGACTTTCCTCACAGCCTCCCCCAGCACTCTCTAATAAATGGCATGGAACCCCAGCGTAAAACTCATAAGATGCCAATCTTCAACCGGAGGAAAAGGATAAAGATATTATCGAAGAACGCGAAGAACACGAACCTTTTGATGGACAGTTATGGGAGAGAGCAAAAGCGTTGGCGGTTAAGGAGGAAGAATTAGTGGAACAGATTGCTGCGCTGAGGAGAAATGTGCCAGCGATGGTGGGGAGAGGGAAGGAAAGTGGAAGAAGGGGTCGAGGAGGAAGAGAGGGGGAAGATTGAGGGGTGGAGGGAAAAATTGGGATGGAGGATGAGGGCGATTTTTGCGGAAGGGGGGGAGTAGATGGGATTGGAGAGGAATGAGAGGATGGTGGAGGTGGAAGGGGATTGGGAGAAAGGGATTGGTGGGTTGGGAGGGGTTGTTTAGAGGGGTTTGCCGGAGGTGGGGGCTACGAGGGATAGAGCGGGACGGGCGGAGGAATATGTTAGGGGGACGGGGAAGAGAGGTTAGGATTGTGGGGATTGAGTTGAGTTCTATGGGGAGAAATCTTCGTTTGAGAGAAATGGAATGAGGCGTTTAGGTGTGGTTGTTTTCATGGATACTGGAAGATTATACCCGGATTTTGATTAGTGTTTTGAATGAATGAATGGTCAAAATGATTTTGTTATTCTATTCCTGAGTTTGCTTAATCAGCTTCTCACACTGTGGTATCATTTCCTTCGTCCTTATCCAATTCTTGTTGCTCTTCTGCCCGTTTTTCGGCTTCAAGAGAAACTCCACCCTCATCACCATCTTCGCTCTCATCTCCACTCTTTTCCTCCTCATCCTCATCCAGCCCATCTCCATCCTCTCCCTCATTATTTTCCTCGCCCTCTGCCCCGCCATTCTTCCCCTTGGTCTTTAACTTCGCTTCCTTCCTCTTAGGAATAACCTTCAAGAAAGCCTTACCCCAATCACCCGTTTCCAACCACCTTATCATGATCTCCATAACATGATTCACAGTCAACACAGTCCGACTTTGCATAGTCATATATTCTCCAATAGGTAATTTTGCGGTTGGGATCCCCGCATCGCAAGCTCGTTTGTAGCAAAGGCCTTTGTGACGGTTTTTGTCGACTATGCCGCCGATCACATAGGTTGTGTATGGGGAGAGAGTAGTGAGAGTATTTTCGGAGTCGGAGGAGAGGTAGACTATATTTGGAGTGGTGGATGAGGAATTGGTGGCGGGTGTAGAGTCTGAGGCTTCTGAGGCCTCTGGAATGGATGGATTTAGCTGTTCATCAACTTCTAGCTGTACAGCTTCCACTGATTCTGGTCCCGCCGATTCTGCTTCCTGCTTCTTTGATCCTCTGCGCGGTTTCTTGTATTCCTCGAGTCCATTTTCTGTCGCCAAAGCACCTAGCAACCTCCCGCCTTCAGCTCCCCTCATAAGTCCATCCATGATACCCGCGGCCTCCATCCACCCCTCTTCCATAAACTTAACTCCCTTCCAACTATTAAAATTACCTGCCAATACCCCCTCAAACCTCTCCTTCATTTTGCCTCCCCATCCCGATATTCCCATATGTCCTCGATAAACCGCAGTTCGATTATCACTATAACAGCGTGTTACTTGCGCTGTTAATGATATAATTTCTTTTTCCATCATGTAGGATTCAAAATCACAATCAATAAGGAAAGAAACTGGGACTTGAACAGGTCGACGGGATGAGGAAGGTGGAGGGGGAGGTAGCAGTCCAGCTGCTTGAGCCGCAGCTTTACGAGCCTGCTTTTCTTTGCGCTTGATGCGCCGGAATTCGGTACGCTTGGATTTGTTGGCTTCCCATTCTTCTTGCTTCCTGCGCTTTTTTAATTGCGATTTTGAGAGGGGATTGGGTTCATTTGAATTTGCTACAGCGGTCGACTCGGTGGTATTGGACTTGGGATTGGCGGGGGCATCTTCAGCACTTATTGAATTTTCAAGTTGCATTGTTGTGTCATTGGAATTGGAATTGGGGGCAATTGAATCGGTAGAGGTCGATGCATCGTCGGTAGGTGCGACTTTGCGGATTTTAGAGGGTCGTTCGTCAATGTCGGACATTTTTGTATAGATTGGGGAAGTTGATGAGGGGGAAGCTTGAATTTCATATGACTGAGAATATCTAAATTGATTTTCTTCTTCACCGCTTTGGCAGAACGCGTGATTTATGGTTTAGCGTGTCGCCCGTCGCGTCTCCTCTACTCAATTCATGGGAAATTGACTTTGATGATTTGACCTGTATTTTCTTGACTCTGGAGCATTCTGAAGACATTCTTCTATAATCGACACCCAGGAAAACCTCTCAAAATGTCTTCTCGTCCTGAGCTTAAGGTACGCCACCTCTTAATTGCAGACTTTGGGCTTAAAGATCTCTCACTGACACCCCATATTAGGTTGATGATGAGCTTGGATTCATTAAGTTCTTCACAAATCTACCTCAGAGAGATGGAGAAACTATTAGAGTCTTCGATAGAGGAGACTTTTATACTGCTCATGGAGACGATGCGACGTTCATTGCCCGCACTGTACGTATTCTTGATGAACGGAGGTAAATACCTAGGTATATATCTGACAATTTTAGGTCTACAAAACTACTTCGGTCCTACGAGATCTAGGCAGTAATTCTACCAAAATTCCCTCAGTAACGATGACCGTAACAGTATACAAAAACTTTCTGCGAGAAGCACTTTATCGAATGGGAAAGAGAGTGGAAATATTTACAACCTCTGGAAGAAACAACTGGAAGGTCACAAAGACAGCATCGCCGGGAAACTTGCAAGATGTAGAGGAAGAATTAGGAGGATCATTTGATGCTGCGCCAATAATTCTGGCGGTCAAGGTCTCTGCAAAGGCATCAGAAGCAAGAAATATCGGTGTCTGTTTTGCAGATGCAAGTGTTCGGGAATTGGGAGTCAGCGAATTTCTTGACAACGATTTATACTCAAATTTCGAATCGCTACTAATTCAACTGGGAGTTAAAGAATGTCTAATTCAAGTAGACAGAACGACAAAAGATGTGGAATTACAAAAGCTTAAACAAATTATCGAAAACTGTGGTTGTGCCTGGACAGAACGAGCAGGAGGAACCTTTGGGACCAAAGATATCGAACAAGATCTTGCAAGACTTTTGAAGGATGAGAAATCTACGGGAGTTCTTCCACAAACGGATTTAAAACTTGCTATGGGTTCAGCTGCAGCACTTATCAATTATCTGGGTGTGCTACATGATAATTCGAATTTCGGACAATACCAACTCTATCAGCATGATCTTTCGCAATTTATGAAACTGGATGCTTCTGCGCTCAAAGCTCTCAATCTTATGCCTGGACCGAGGGATGGATCGAAAACCATGTCTCTTTATGGCCTACTCAATCATTGCAAAACACCAGTGGGAAGTAGACTTTTGGCACAATGGTTGAAACAACCTCTAATGAGTTTAGAGGAAATTGAAAAACGACAACAATTGGTAGAGGCTTTTGTTGAAGATCAAGAATTGAAACAAACCATACAAGAAACACACATGCGATCGATACCTGATTTATATCGCTTAGCCAAACGATTTCAGAAAAAGTTAGCGAATCTAGAAGATGTCGTTCGAGCATATCAAGTTGTCATAAGAATACCGGACTTCATCAAAACTCTCGAAGATGTTATGGATGAAAAATATCGTGATGCTCTTGATGAAGCATATACAGACAAACTTCGTGGATGCAACGCTAGTCTTGGAAATTTAGCGGAAATGGTAGAGACTACGGTCGACCTCGATGCTATGGACAACCATGAATATATCATCAAGCCTGAATTCGATGATAGTCTCAATATCATTAGGCGAAAGTTGGACAAATTAAAGTATGAAATGGATCAAGAATTCCGTGTAGTGGCCAAAGATCTCGGCCAGGAAATTGAAAAGAAAATCTTCTTGGAAAACAACAAAGTTCATGGATGGTGTATGCGTCTCACACGAACGGAAGCATCCTGTATCCGAAACAAGAGCAAATATCAGGAATGTCAGACACAAAAGAATGGTGTCTATTTTACCACCTCGAAACTCCTCTCAATACGTCGCGAATTCGACCAGCTCTCGGAGAATTACAACCGCACCCAATCTAGTCTCGTAAACGAAGTTGTAGCCACAGCTGCATCCTATTGTCCAGTCATTGAACAACTTGCCTCTGTTCTTGCCCATCTCGATGTTATCGTTTCGCTAGCCCATACTTCTGCGCATGCTCCTACATCTTATGTCCGTCCGAAGATGCATCCTCGTGGAACTGGTTCTACGATTCTTAAAGAAGCTCGCCATCCTTGTATGGAAATGCAAGATGATGTTCAATTCATTACTAATGATGTCTCGCTTATTCGTGATGAGTCCTCGTTCCTTATAATTACAGTATGTACTACAATTTCACCCTTACAATGTCCCAGTTTATTACAGACATTGTGTATCTCAAGTATGGATTAACTGACGCAGCTTTAGGGACCGAACATGGGAGGAAAGTCTACATACATCCGACAAATCGGCGTTATAGCACTGATGGCTCAAATCGGTTGTTTCGTCCCTTGCTCAGAAGCAGAACTTACAATCTTCGATTGTATATTAGCGAGAGTAGGAGCGTCAGACTCACAACTTAAAGGCGTATCAACGTTCATGGCAGAGATGTTAGAAACGGCTAATATACTCAAATCAGCAACTTCAGAATCTCTCATCATCATTGATGAGTTGGGTAGAGGTACTAGTACATATGATGGATTTGGCTTAGCGTGGGCTATCTCCGAATACATCGTTAGGGAAATAGGAGCATTCAGTATGTTCGCTACGCATTTCCATGAACTGACAGCGCTGGCGGATACTTTCCCTCAAGTCAAAAATTTACATGTGGTGGCGCATATTGATACAGAACCTTCGTCGCAAGAAAGGAAGCGAGAGGTCACGTTACTATATAAAGTCGAAGAGGGAATCTGCGATCAAAGTTTCGGTATTCATGTAGCGGAACTAGTCAAATTCCCAGAAAAAGTAATAGGCATGGCGAGGAGAAAGGCAGAGGAATTAGAAGATTTCGGAACGAGTGTAAAGACTGATAATGGAGATCCAAGTAGTCAAGAATATGGAAAGGAGGATGTGGAGGAGGGCAGTCGATTGTTGAAGGATATATTGAAGAAGTGGAAGGCGGAAATTGATGGGAAGGATATGGCGAAGGAGGACAAAATTGCGGTGTTAAGGAGGCTGGTGGAAGGCGATGAGAGATTGAGAGCAAACCCGTTCTTTAAGAGTATTGAATGTTTATAGGAGATTGAGACAATGTGGAGGGTGATGCACTTGATATAGCATGAAATTGGCGTTCAGGAAAATTGGAGGGGATAATATGGATTGGCTCGCTGGCTAGGTGGGCTGGCTGGGCGGCGCTGAGTTGAAAAGGTACAGTACATATAGTAGATAGACATGTTCCTTTAATGCGTATCAACTAGAACATAAATATAAACCACGCTTTTACAATTGGATTGTTGAATCGCCTAATTAATACTCAAGATATCGCATAATCCGCTCTTTTCTAGATGGCCTTCTCAAAATGCATTATTTTCTCATGTCACATCAATGTGGTTCTTGAATGTCTGCATTCTTCTCAATGAATCACAACTTTGTTGTTGTTTGAGATATGTTTGAGATGTCCTTGGTAAATTGATTTCACTGTTTAAACGGTTTTCTGTGTTCCTTATTGATATGACTAGAGCTTCTGAGCTTTAATGATCATATGGTGTTATTTTACATCCTTTGACCAGACAATCACACCAGATTTATAACCCCACGCGAAGACCAGATTTCAACTGGCTAATAAGTGAGGTTCTTGGGACATCGAATCTGAGGGGGGAGTAAATATATAGAAAGTGAATGCACAATCCTGTATCAAGAATATCTACTTGATATCTAATACCACAGCGATTAAAGACCTTATCCTTGCATGTATGTGAGTCTGGTATGAGATGTCGTGTTAAGATGGGAAACGAGATCTAGCACTCTCTGTACATAACAAATGAATTTGGACTAATGGGTCAAGGGGGTAGGGGATTCAAGGGTGTGCAAGACCCAGGTGGGAAGTGAGCATTGGAGATGAGGGTTTGGAAGTGAGTGGAGGTGTTTGGAATTGGACGTCTAGGAGTTCTCAGAGAAGGATGGAGAGTAAAGATTCAACTGTTAATAGTAAATGATTGAAAGCTAGCATGTTAGTCTCGTATATAATTTCATTTCTTATCAGAGTGAATACTATCTCAGTGATAGTAATCTGACGCGTAGTTCCAATATCAATTCACCTCAGAGCATCCCCAGAACATCCTCACTTCAATTTTCAATCACCAAGCCCATCAACCTCCCATAACTTCTTTTTTATCCACCAACACATCTTTATAGAACATGTCTTTCTCGACAAGCAATTCCTTTTTTTCATGAAACTTTTACTTGTTCCTTTCCCTTTGTCCTCGATTTGCATTTCTATCCAATAGGTCAATGAGCTACTGATGCGGAGAAGTATATATTAGAATCGATTTCAAATCATCCGGAAGTAAATTGAAGTAACGAATATAACATTCGAACGTACTTCTCAATTAAATACCTTCCAGATGCAGGCATACCGCTGTCATTATTTATGTCAGTCATCGTGTGGAGTTTGGTTCAAAAGTAGGAAGGAGAACGAGAATTCGGAATTCTTAGTGATCAGCCAGTTGTTCAACAACCGTAGGTAACTTAAGAAACCGACGAAGGGAAAAGATGGACTTTTAATAGAATACCCCTCTTCAAGCGATAGTAGACGCTCTTTAGAAAAAATAGATAAATCCGACGAAAATACGCAACCAAATGAATGTTTGGGGAATGAAATAATCTCCCCTACTCAGTCGGATTCTCGTGGCTTGCGCATACTTCTCAATGCGACAGATTCGGTTCTCGCTTGTCGAGATAAATTTCGCATCAAGAGGTATAAAACAAACATACAATTTTTAGAACTGGGACTCCCAGATCTTGACGTAACAACGGATACACAGTTGATGAGGCGAGCTAAAGCTGGAAGTAGTTTGCTGACTTGTAATGGTCAACTAATAAGTCTATTCCGTTGTTTCGGTTTCGAGTTGAGGAGAAACAATGATGGGGAAAATCAATGTTCGGTTGTACACGTAATTGACAATAATGAATGAAAAGTACCCGTTCGGTTGAATTGACAACAATTTTCAAATCAAGATACTATTAGTATGTTTGGTGAAGATCACAAAAATCAGAGAAATCAAAACAGCTGCATCTTCAAACCGCACTGTCTCACATAAAACTTGATTCCCAATCTAACAATTGGTCAGGCAGGTGTCTGACTGGGAAGCAAGCACTTAATAAGAAGTATTTTATAGAGGAGCTTGAATTGTGCCGAGAAGTATCGAACAAGCTAACTTATATGTATAAAGTGGACTTTCCAGTTGCTAGAAAATAGAGTGAGTGAATAGTCGGAAGTCACATTGTGGTATAAAACCAACTTCGTATTTGGATTTTGACAGAGATGCAGCTAGAAATGGCTACCTTCTCTCCATCGAAATCTAGGTGTTCCAAAAACTCCAGACTATGGGGATTTATCTGGAATTTCTCTTCCATTGTGCAATATTATTGTTATTTTGGAATGGTATCAGGAATATTCATTGTTGCGTGTTGTAGCGCTGTGACTATTCGGGAATAATGTCGTTGTGAATTTTTGGCGGTGAAAATTTGGGTTAAATGACAGCGAGTGACAATATGATGGGTGATATTTCATCGCGAAAAGTACACTGGAGAGAAGAAAGATACAAAGATTATCTCCAGCATTGTCTATTCCGCAGAGCCCCTGGGGTCGATATCTTTTGAAGCGGTGGCATGCATGGGAAGAAATCCGATGTATGAGGCAGGATTTATATAGCCGATTTATCTTGAATGATACACCGCTACTCGCAGTGAATAAACATTAGAACGGCTTAGTACGAAGTGAAAAGCACTGCAAGCGACATGAGGATAAAAATCGTTATGAAGACAGAGCGCTTGCAATCAAATATATTTAGATGTAAGATCTTACCAGGTATGTATTTCACAAGTCAAGCTTCGGTGGATATTGAGGAATAAAGTTGACGGGTTGTAGAGCCTCTTCAAAAGCATATGATGAGATGCAAGGTTTGAAAGCCATGTCCACTTGATATGCTGACCAAACTGTGCCGCTGATGAAAGATGCCGTCTGGTTCATTCAAGCGTACCATTTGTATCTACAGAGAGGCTCATGGAGAGCCTCGTTTGACAGAGCCCAAGTTGAAGAACGATAGAAAAGATGCCTTACCCTAAGGTAAGAGCAGCGTAGAAGTGAACGATATCCATCATTGAAGTTGTTCCGTAAGTCACATCTTTCAAATTTCTTTTACATCAATACTAATCGCGCAGACATTCATCAACGCTTGTACCTTGCTTCTGATTTGTGCATCCATATGACCAAAAGTCTTCACATGTCTGATTATGATTTGCTATTTGTACAGCTCATACATCACAGAAATGGTATTTGAAAATCTGATAGGGCTCAATTTGGGTGCCACTCTGTTGCGGAAGTGATTGCTAATTAAAGTGGAAGTCAACATAGCTTCGTGTAGTACATGTGCCTCTTCGAGAGGCAATATGTTGAACGTAATGCCCAAGGCTGAAAACACATTTAAACTTTGCATGTATCCGTGAAGAGAAAAAAAGAATAACAGCTGCTGTGAGTTGAAGACAGAGGCGTTTCCATATTGAACTCTGACTACGTAATCTGATAGGTGTAGTCTTTCAGAGTTAGATCATGGCGGTCAAACACCTTTCGGAACAGATAGATCTAGCGCAAGCCAGTCTACATTTTGCCCTTCCATATGGCGGTATTGGTATCGCGACAGATATTATCACGCTTTACATATCCGTCATGCTGCTGTGTGGTAAAAGTCCTCTTTTTTTGGAGCAATTGTTGCGGAAATACATTAGAAGATGGGACCAGCTTAAAGCATGCGCGTTTCAACGCCATCTTAGCTTTCATACAGTTCTCATCGACCATAGTCGTTTCACCAGTAGTGATAGCCGAAAGTCAGAATTGCCAACTTCAATTTATAGCGTCCTTAAAGCTCGTTACCTCTTTGATTTCGAGCGCAATGGCGTTTTCCGTTGGCCGTCAAGAATCACAAAAAAAGATTGGAGCATTCTGAGCCTAAGTTGATACCCATCTGGCTTTTGGCTATATTTGTTGCAATGACAACAGGTATAATGTTCGGCGCAATTACTTTGGCGAGTAACTTGGTACGCCATAGCCTCAAATTTGGGGCCATTACTGGAATATATGGTATTACTACAATACAACCACAGTCATTCTGTTAATAATGATAGTTTCAGCTCTGCATAACTGGTATCGATCGTATTTAGAGGGAGATGAAGATGCTCATGAAACGAATTCGGATTTAGATGGCGACGCGCACCCCCGAGATCAATCCCAAACTTGGGACTTGAATGCGACAGGGTATTAATCCGTGTGTTAGACTCTCCATCATTAAAATCAGGCTGTATCGTATGGGGAATCTGTGCAACTTCAACGCAAGTCTATATTGATTTGATAGCCGGTTTGGCTGCAGAAAATGTCGGTGGCAATCCCAATCCCAAAGCTGAACTCATGACCTGGTTGTTTTGGTTGTATTTCAGATTCCAGGTGCTACCACTACTTAGCTGCTGAAATCAAGGAAATATAACCTCTGGGACATTTTAAGAGAAGACTTCTTCGTAGTCTTCATGGATGAAAACAGAATACAAGATGATAGACAAAACAAGTAATGAAGCTTCGTGTCAGTGGCCTTGCATGCCTAAGCCACCGGTGTTGTACTGAACCTTGGAAGCTCTTAATTGAAACGCTAACCATGTATCTTGGATAGAAAATCAACTCCTTCGATTAACACGACTTCTTTATTGAATGGACATTAAAGTAGTTGTGTTGCAACGTAATATAAAGACATTGATTGAGTTGAAAGTCTTCAATTGATGTCCCAACATGTAGAACGCTTCTGTATTCTGCATTAGAGCTCACCGGGGCTTTCTCAGAAAACTGTTGGCGCGATCCGCTCGAAAATGGGGGTCGATTGTAGTCTTGTAGACTTCGATTCTAAACTTCTAGAATTTCTGGAATGCGACGATCGCACGCGCTACACACGACATACACGTTATTTCGTTGTACAGACTGACAGATTCACCGTCTGTTGGGGTTTACACTATCCCGATACAGTGGATATCCATTACACTGCAGGGTTCGACCGGCGTCTTATCGCCTGAAATTACTGTTTGCAGTCATCGCTTCGCAGCCGAGGTACGCTAAATCCGCTATTGTTGAAACCGCAAGATATTCATCCACATCACCGCCGGGATATCAAGAACCTTGAGGCAAATCAACGGAAAATGACCAATCCGTATAGATAACATCGATGTTCCATTCGAAGGATTTGGCTCCATCCCAATTACATGTCTAAGTATGTTTCATCTTATCTCTTTGATCTCATTCATCTCAAATACAATGTCATGTGCGATTCGGAAACCTTGAATCAGACTGGTGAGATTTCTTTTAGGCCATTTGCTCTTTGACAGTAGGGATATCTCGAAACATCAAACCAAACCCGTCGACCAGCATACAGCAATACAGACATTGAGAATTGAGATAGAAGATGCGACTGTAGGAAAACCTCAAAATATGGACTCGAAGGATGAGCACGAAGCTCAGGAAGCCAAGGCCAAATCATCGTTATCTATTCGCTCGCAACCGTTAGCCTTATCAGCCACAAATGAAAATGATGCAACAAATCTCCAAGCTATCACGACTACCCAGAGCAATACATTTTCTCTGTCCGCTGTAGAACCGGTCGATGTCCAGATACGAAACCTCTCGGTGAACGTTGATATCTCCCCTTCAGCACTTTCAATTGAACGATGGATACCACGAAAGAAGGCCCAAGATGGATCTGCCACTCCCACCATGAAACAAATCCTACACTCAGTCTCTGCCTCGATGCCCGTCGGAACACTTACTGCCATTATTGGTGGCAGTGGTTCGGGAAAGACAACTATGTTAAATACAATGGCTGAGCGCATGACAAGTGGACGATTAACAATTGGTGGAACCACAACTTTCAATGGCATGGAAGGTGTACATAGTGTTCGTAGTGCATATGTCATGCAACAGGATGTATTACTACCGACCTTGACAGTCCGAGAGACTTTACGATATGCCGCAGATCTGCGATTGCCGCCACCGACAACTGAAAAGGAAAGGAGGAACATTGTGGAGGAAGTAATTTTGGAGCTTGGTTTGAAGGAATGCGCCGACACACGAATTGGTAGCACACAACACAAGGGGTGCTCTGGAGGCGAGAAAAGAAGAACTAGCATTGGTGTACAATTGTTAAGCAACCCAAGCGTCTTATTTCTGGACGAACCGACCACTGGACTTGATGCGACGAGTGCATTTCAGCTAGTCAGGACCCTCAAAGGGTTGGCCAGGAAAGGTCGGACGATTATTACAACCATTCACCAGCCTAGATCAGAGATATGGGGAATGTTTGATGGTCTAACAATCTTAACAAGAGGTAGTCCAGTATATTCTGGCAAAGCTGCGGACTGCTTGTCTTGGTTCAAAGGAATTGGCATGGAGCTACCGGCATTTGTCAATCCAGCAGAGTTCTTAATTGATATAGCTGCTATTGATAATCGCTCCCCTGAACTCGAGGCAACTTCTTCTGCAAGAGTTGAAAATTTGAAACTTGCTTGGGCAGAAGAAAATGACAAAAGGTTCTTCCAAGTTTCGGAAAAGGTTACAGCTACTGAGACGCCGGATACAAAACCTCTTGGAGCAAAGAATTGGACACGTCACTCTCCGTTCGTTCGTCAGACTCGTGTACTAACTTCTCGAACCTTTGTCACAACCTATCGAGACCCTATGGGCATGTTTGGATCTCTTATAGAAGCGATAGGGATGGGGATCATGAGTGGGTGGGTTTTCTTTAACCTGGGGCAAGATCTTTCTGGTATTCGCAGTCGCGAAGGTGCCCTTTACAATGCTGCCGCATTACAAGGGTATCTCATGCTCTTATTCGAAACATATCGTCTGACGATTGACATACAACTCTTTGATCGTGAGAATAACGAGAATGTTGTGGACGTTATCCCTTTTCTGCTCAGTAGAAGAATTGCAAGGTTCTTTACCGAAGACTTTCCTGTTCCTCTGATATTCTCACTCATATCTTATTGGATGGCAGGCTTTAGATCAGATGGCTCGACTTTCCTTACTTTCTTTTCTATCGTACTACTCTGTCAATATATCGCCGTCACCTTCGCCATGACGTGCATAGCGGCTTCAAGAAACTTTGCTGGTGCATCTCTCATTGCAAATATGGGTTACACAGTTCAGAGCTTTGCCTGTGGATTTTTTGTACAAGTAAACACTATTCCGGTGTACGTTCGTTGGCTAAAATGGACAGCCTACGTATTTTATGCGTTTGGTGCTTTGTGTTCAAACGAATTCGTAGGCCAGTTTTATGATTGCCCTTATGAAGGCGGAGAATCGAACCCAGCCTGTGTTGAATACACAGGCGCATTCATCATAAATTCGCTGGGATTTCCTGATAACTGGGTTGTCAGGCCAATCATTTTCCTACTCTGTTATTCAATCATGTTCTACGGACTTGCGGGCATTGGTCTACGATTCTTAAAAGTTGAAATGACGATTGCCAGAGCTAGAGGCTCAGATGCGGACTTTTCCGCAGGGAAAGAAAAGATGACAGTAAGGTCTGCGGCGGAGGTTCGAACTGTGAGTTGATATTCTGTTTTTTGCTTCCCAGTGATATCATGAATAGCAAAACGTGAATTGATGCACGCTTGCACTTGACCATGTCTATATCGATTTGTGTGACGGATTGGCACTAACTAGCATAGGTTGATATCGGCCTTGATAAATTCGCCTTAGATCTCGAGAAACGTAATTCATTTGGGAAGAAACAACCCACCAAAATCATATTAAATCCAGTCACAGCAACATTCCAAGCCGGTGTGTTAAATGTCATTATGGGACCATCAGGCAGCGGTAAAACATCTCTTCTCAATGCGATGGCTTTGCGACTACGTAATTCTATTGGAACAAAATATCGACCCAGTGGAGACATGACTTTTAACGGTGCAGTGCCATCGGCTTCAGTCATACGGTCTGTTTGTTGTTATGTATGTCAAGATGATGATGCACTCCTGCCTTCATTAACGGTTAGAGAAACCCTTCATTTTGCAGCTGGGCTACGACTTCCATCGTTCATGACAAAGGATCAAAAGATTCGACGTGCTGAGGATGTTCTGTTGAAGATGGGTCTGAAGGATTGTGCGGATAACCTTATTGGATCTGATCTCATTAAAGGTATATCAGGTGGTGAAAAGCGCAGAGTAACTATCGCCGTTCAAATTCTGACGGATCCAAGGGTGAGTCTAAGAACTTTATCTATTCCCCTTCCCCTTCCAATTGGAAACAATTCCTGCGCTGTTTGAAAATGCCTTGACTCTAATTCTTTACCACAGGTGCTTCTCTTGGATGAACCAACCTCTGGTTTAGATGCATTCACCGCTTCATCTATCATGGAAGTGCTTCAAGGTCTTGCACAAGAGGGTCGAACTCTAATACTCACAATCCATCAATCTCGTTCGGACACCTTTAAGCATTTTGGGAGTGTTCTTCTATTAGCACGTGGAGGCTTTCCCGTTTACGCTGGTAAAGGTTCTGATATGATTTCACACTTCAATAATTTGGGCCATCCATGTCCCACTACGACAAATCCAGCCGATTTCGCACTCGATCTAATCACCATTGATTTACAACAGTCTAGACGAGAGGAGGCCACTCGTTCCAGAGTAAGAGATCTCATCAATTCCTGGTCATCCGGAGATTTCACAAAAGCTATCATCCCAACCACAATATCTACTCCCGCAGAACTGGGCTCTCTTGTTCGCAAATCCTCTGGCTTCTTCTCTGCGTACCCAATTCTTGTTCATAGAGCTTCGATCAATTTCCGTCGACAACCTGATTTACTATTAGCTCGAACTATGCAAGTCCTAGGTCTCGCCATCATTCTCGCTTTGTTCTTCGCACCCTTAAAACACGACTATTATTCCGTACAAAACAGATTCGGTTTCATCCAAGAATTTTGTGCATTTTATTTCGTTGGCATGCTGCAAAATGTTGCAGTCTATCCTAATGAAAAAGATGTGTTCTATCGAGAAAACGACGATGGTATTTATAGCGTCGAAGCATTTTTCGCTCAATATACTACACTGGAGATACCATTTGAGATATTCACATCTTTAATCTTTGCGATATTGACGGATTTAGCTACGGGCTTACCCAGAAATGCTCAGGTATTCTTTGTGTGCTTCTTTAATTGCTTTTGCATTATTAATTGTGGTGAGAGTTTGGGTATTATGGTATGTTCCCCTTATCCGAGATCTGAGACTCATAGTGGTGACTAACATGACAATAGTTTAATACCCTCTTCTCCCACACAGGCTTCGCCGTAAACCTTACAAGTGTATTCCTATCAATAGCCCAATTTATGTCCGGTATCATGTCCATTGGTATGCCTGCGTTTCTCCAAGGAGTAAACTATCTCTCGCCTATTCGCTACGCTATTAGGAATTTAGCGCCGTACACCTTGAGAAGTATTGTATTTACGTGTACTGATGCACAGAAACTGCCAGATGGCAGTTGTCCGATTAATAACGGAATGGAGGCACTGGATCTTTATGATTTGAATACGGATGCCCTGTGGAATATCATTGCGCTAGGCATTTGTACTGTGATTTATAGGGGCTTGGCTTATGTACTGTTGAAGGGGATGAGGACGCATTGGAAAGGAGTTGGCAAGAGAGGGAAGGGGAGCGGGAGATCAGATGCACCGAGAGTGTAAGACGTAACAAAGAGTCCCAAGTAAACTCTATTGTTGCTTGCTAGCTATTGCAAACCATTGAACGCCAGTAATTCTTTGGAACTGAACATATTTCATAGATGGTACATTATACTCTGTCTTTGCATTTTATGATTTTATTGTTCATGTGCATCTACATATACATCTTTATCTGCTACGCAGCACAAACAAAGTTGATACACATCATTACCCAAATTCAAACTCGAAACCAATGTATGCAAGCATCTTCATCATCATCTCTCCTAAACCCTCCTATTCACAATCTTCGCTCAATCACTCGCTAAACCAAATCACCTGATTTCCAGACCACAAGAGATGAACCACCAGAACTCATCCCATTTATCTGTGTTTAGTTGCATTAAATCATCGCATCACATCCAGAAATCTCATCTCACATCTCACATCGCATATCCTCAATACTCAATTCCTCACCACTTTCCGCGTATGTGTGATGTAGTATCTCATCTCACCTCACCTCACCTAATTAGCGCGCGGCGCGGCGGATTTCTAGTGTTGGTTGGTGGGGGATAAACGAGGTGACATTTTGATAAGCGGCGTGACTCGTAAGCAAAGTGGTATGCCGATGAAGAAATTTGATTCGTTGGAATGGTAGGGCGAGGATGATGTTGGAGATTTGGTATGAGCGGATGGGGGTGATTGTTGGGGAAGAGTTGGATTGTTGGAGAGTTGTATTTTTTGGGTGGATTGAATTGATTAGATGGTTGCTGTGGTGGGGATTTGCTTGGGGGCGAAATGGGGGCTGTGTGGTGGGACTGGGCTAGGAGAGGAAGATGTGAAAGGCTGAGAGGGGATGAGAGGGTGACAGGGAGAGCACGCAAAGTGATTATTTGTGGGAGTGAAAAGGTGATTGTGATTGTGATAGTGATGTTGTAATGGTGAAGTCGGAATGAATGTGTAGGGCGGAATAAATGCTCAGGTGGTAGGGAGAGGCGAGGATTGGTGGGGTCGGTAGATGTATGTCAGATTCGATGGACTGGTGGACTCACGATTGTGATTGTGATGTTGATATTGGTGATGATAGGTAGTTGGATTCTGGTTGGAATCTTCAGGTTGCTTAGTGTGATCGGAGTGGATGAATTTTGTTGTCTTCCCGTTGATGATATTGTTAGCTAGTACCTAGCAAAATATTGGCATTCTCAAAGCCGTTAGGTTGTGGAGTTCTCTTGTGTTGTAGTTCGTAATTGGTGTGTGCATGATATCGATCCTGATACCAGTTTTAGTTTCTTGGTCTTATGCTTGTGGTTGTTGATGTGGTATCTGATTCCTGATTCCTGATTTCTGGTTTCCTGATTTCGTATTATGTGCGGTCATAATCAGGGGTGGCTCGCTGAAGATAACTTGGTATATCTTGGGGTTTCTTGGGTTTGGATCGTGAACCAGTAGAGTTAGGAGAACAAGAGCTAAGCAAGGTGCTGTGTGAGAACGCAAGGGATGATATGTGTATCTTGGATATTTTGAGGCTGAGATTAATGCTAATGAAAAGCACGCAGCTAGCAGGTTGAGGCGAGGTTGTGATGATTAGTGATTCGTGATTCATCGATCGTCAAGCTTCTTATTAAGTTGGTAGCGGACCGAATGAACATCTCCCCAGGACAAGAGCCAAGGCATCTCACGTATCCTTGATCACCGGATGAGTCAACCGGAAAGTTCTTAGGGCTCTAGGCTGTAAACTTCCGGCGTTGGAGAAGCATGACGGGCTGATGACACATGCCGTTGAAGAATTGTGTGTTTTGAGTTGATTATCATAGATCCCGATTATTCTACTGGCATAATCCGTTGTCAAAACCGGTGGCATCGGGGGTAAAGTAAGCTGCTTGAGTGGAACTGGAAAAGTTGCCCCGGTTTTTGAAGCTGGATCCTGATCACCCATAAAACTTCCTGATATACTTGATGCAAGCGGCGTTGATGTGATTCTCTATCGTTGCCTGCCAAGGTATAAGACTTTAGCCTTACGTTACTAATCGAAAGAGGTCAATACCGAGTGTTGTATCCATGATCCATCGTGTCCCGTCCGTTTTCAATCTCATGTACAGGGTATCCAATATTCCGGATTGCAGTCCAGTAATATAACAATTTGAATATCTAAAAGAAGTTTGAAATTTGAAAGTAATTCAATATTACAATTTGAATATTCTAACTGGTTTGGGGATTTAATAATCTTCACTGTTGGACTGCAGTCCGGACTATTGGACACTCTGCTCATATACGCCATACCTGTTCAGAACCCGACCGATACTACTTTCAAATTCAGGTTTTTACTGAGTTTTGATGATGTATTAAAGATAGATGCTGATGGGGTATCTTGAAATCTCACTCATCTCCCCGCATCTCAGAGTATTGGCTCAGCTCAGTTGATGTCAAAGCTGCGATACATTTTCAGAATACCTAGGCATGGACACGTCTCAGCGTCTGGCTTATGTCAAGCTTTATCTGACTTTCCCGTTTCTTATTCCCAGATATGATTCTTACTGTGCTATATCTTGCTAAAATTGAAGCTTCTTACTGTCTGTTGTGTTCTCATATGCCTCGTCTAATTTAGGCTGTGGGGGCTGATCACATGTAATATGGGCGCAATATCTATTTCTGATATAAAAAAGTTGATTGCTGATGGATATGTACCGGCGATTATGTGAGGTGAGATGCGTTCTATAAGATAATGTACCGAAAATAGACGACGGCCAATTATATAATTTTGGCCATTGTGTCAATTCCATGGAATAACTGGGAGCCGCACTTACTAATCCGTTGATTTTCATTTCAATTATCCAATACATAAACTAGTTCCAAGGATCCAGGCGTGAATTATCCATACAGTGTTCCAAGATGAACATATCCAATTCCAAGGTCTCGGAACCTTCAAACTTTGTCCCCGGTCGTAGTCTAGAGCGCGGATATGCCGATAACTTGGAACGGGTAAGTTTTGAAGGAAGGTGCCAAGTATGGGGCAAGGTGATGTGATATCGGCTAATTGTTGTTTCATCATGGCGGGAGCTTCGTGAATAACGCCAAATCCTTATATCTTATCACTCATACAATGGTTCCCATGTACCTACAGTCTCACTTGAAGTGATCTGTATCCTTTCACACATATAAAAGGTGCAGATATTGATCACTGCATTTAGTCAAAGAGCCTGATCCTGGCCATCATTTGAGAGATGATATAACTTAGAATAGCTTGAAGTGGCGTTTTCACCTCACCTTCGGCAAGCTTTTCGATACGCTAGAATTATTCTTGGCAAGAATGCGGGGATGTTTCGAAATCTGCCCGTGGCGTAGGAGTTCATGTATTCGACTTCCATGTAGTGACCGGATTGTCAACTTTAGATCTTATCTCAAAATTCCTGGGCACTACGATTGACGAGTCGGTACTCGCCCTGAGCCCTGATTTCTAGAATTAATGTAGGTATGTAAATGTGATTCGTCAAAGCTACTGCAAGCCGTGAATGAAGATTGTTGCTGTTTCAAATTGTTAATCTCGGGGTCCCTCTAGAAGGCTTTTTGGACACTTCAAGTCATAATCATTCACCCTGTCCATCTTATCTAGTAACTACTAAACATGACCATCTTCAGAGACAATTCCAAGAAACGGAAGCGACGATCCGTGGAAGTGGTTGTCGGGATTTACGATCGTTTCCAGTAAATAGTTACGTGGCCAACGGCCACGCTGCAGAATTACTCACTGGCGTTCTTGAGAGACTCCAGATTATTCTAGTTACCTGTTCCTGATAGATTGTTTTCTCGTAACTATCTAGCATGAAACTCATGTGACCGATGGAGAGCACCGTATCTGCATGTGTATTAGTCACAGGTGTACTTCTCAACTACCTTCTGATCAGTCAACTTCTATGCCCACATGTCTAGTTGAGATACCAATTCAGGGCTTGCATCTCCGACATCTGTTGTAGCTACTATCTTCATAAGCGGCTCAAACATTTGACACTTATTTACAGACCAGCTTAATCTTGATTCAGATACAAACTTCGCATCAAAACTTGAAATAGTGTCTAAAACATATCATCCACAGCGACCGATAGTCTGGACGATCATCATTGGTTTCAACTGTAAGATTTAACTCGTCAACTACCATGAGTTTCTCCATCAAAATTTGTGTATTAAGAGCAGATTGTAATATGGTCCTGGTATATTCAGGGCTATGAAACGGTGCCAAGTTTCGGCTGCAATCTACCGCAACCCCTGATGTAATGTATTTCCGGCATTGATTTTGTACTGGTACTTCTCATCGTCTGCAATTTTAAGGCTTAATGCCCAAAAAAAGTTTGACAACTTTTTTTTAGAACAGGAGTTCTGACAGTCATGTGATATGTTTTGACAACTGCGAGCTTTGTGACTCGCAAATTTGTACTACTGCCGGCCGTGTTGAATGCTGAAATCTGACCGATGAAAAAATATTAATATTTAATTTTCATGCCGATACTTAGTGTGCTTTGATACGCGGAGTTACGACCAAACGTGCTGATGTTGAAGAAGTTGCACCTCGTATTATCCCGTAAATCATCAAGCTTATGGTCACACCAGCTTGATTGACGAGTTTGAGAGGACTCTATGATGTATACGTGGTCAGTATTTAGACAGAATATTTGGAAAAACTTTAGTTATGAAGTGACCTTGAGGAAATTCAACTTCAATTCACAAGTACTTGGATTTCAACGGCGTTCTAGAGTAAAATCAGGAGCAATCTCGGATCGGTCTGTCGTGTTATCATCGGAATGAAAGTCATGTAGGGCTGACATACCAGCAAGGTAATTTAAATCCTCTTCAACTGAGATCCACTTATAGGCCCTCTCAGTCATACAGACGGCGGAGCAGAGGAGCTGGGATGAAACATTGAAATCCCCAGCCTACCTATCCGAAGATGGGGGTTTACGTCTAAGCGAGAAAGTCGGGCTGATCTAGACACCTCTTGAACCGTGGGGTAAGCTGTTTCATGGGCAGTACCCGAA